GGCATGCACACACTCACATTCACTCTCACATTTTCATCTGCCAGCCTGTCAGTCAGTTGCCCTGTGGCTGAGCGACTTTAAAACTGGAGGTCAGAAAGGGCATCAGTTCTCCAGTGCTGAATTCGCCAGTCCTATCTGTTTTTTCCTCAGAGTCTGCCCTTTCAACCATTGACACTGCTGCCCGCTGCTGTCTATCATGCCAGTCTGTATTCTGCCTGCCTGTGTGAAGGGAGCTTGATAAGATAAGATAAGCTGCAGTGGGCTGCCAGTTGTGAGCTGCAGGGTGACATAAGAGATCACTTCATTAGCCCTATACAATTTCTTGCATTAGGAATTGGTCTTTTTCACATACCTCAACTTGCTCTACATGAGACACACAGGCAGGGAGAGAAGCTTGGGGTCAGAGCGCAGGATCAGCCATTTACACCCCTGGAGCAGCTGGGGTTAAGGGCCTTGCTCAGGGGCCCTCAGTTCTGACTCCTGTGAAATGCGTAGTTAAAGACCCTATGATGGTACTGTATTATCCGGAAGTGACTGGAGTAGGACATCAGGGAAGACACAGCAGGATCAGGCCAGGTAGAAACACATGGGGGTGATGATGGCTGTGATCTGGTGCATGGGGGGAGCGCAGGCGAACGAGTCCAAAAGAAAGTCCAAAGGGGGAAATTAGGGCACAGTCCAGGTGCCAGAAGATCCATCCGAGATGAACACAGAGATACAGATAGTTAAAACCTTGACGGGACAAGGCGCTCCGAGCCCCGGACTCAGTAGGTCAGGACATCTGGGGATAAGGCCTTGGCCTCAGTCTGCTCCTGAGCCCGGTGGATAGGTGGGCCTTCAGACGTCCATCTCCCAAACTGAACTACAGAGACGCTGGGCTTGAATGGAGAAAAGGGGATAAGACACAGCTGGGAGAAATAAAACTGGGAACGAAAAATTCCCTCAAGAAAGAGAGCCCTCAAGAGGAGGGATGACAACCATGACATGGCCAAGGAAAGGGGCTTCCTCGGAGGTAGGCACAGCAAGCCGCTGAGCTGGAAGTAAAAGTAATTTAGCCAGCACCTGGGTATCGGAGTTAACAAGAAGCGGGTTGCACAGATGTTGGGGGTGGCAGCCGGCAACTGGCATGCTGTGGAAATTTCGGGCACAGGGAGCGTCTGTGAACCCCCCAACCCCAGGACCCGCCCCTGCACATTTACAGGAGCTGCTTCTGTCTTCACCCTCTACAAGGCCCCCAGATGGGACTGGAAGTCTCTAGTGGTCAGAATTATGGCCATGAGTGGGAGTGGCTTCAGATCTTTATTGCTCCACTTAGCTCGTGGGGAATCAAGACAATCCCTGTTAAGATCATGTATTATAGATCGAGAGGACCAGTGGATCCAGTGCAGAGAAATAAACAGAGGGCGAAACACTATAACCAAGAGCGTAGTCCAGAGGTGGTAGTCGAGTATAGAGCTGAGTTCTAATAAGCTGGGCATCCGATAAAGTAAGCCAAGTGTATTAAGTCCAAGATCCACAATCCGTAGTCAAAAGTCAAACGGAGTTCGAAAAACCAGGTATCTAATATCCTACAATCCAAGGGCAACAAACCAGAAACGAAGTGCGCAAGCCGAGGTCAAAGGGAAGTAAGTTCAAAAAGCCTGAAAGAGTTATCCAAGACGAAAACGTTGGGAGTAGGCAGCTCAATGGCAGAGAATGTCCAAGACTGAGCAGTTTGAGTTGTGATGGGGTGTCCTAAAATGGGGCAGTGGCGAGGGGCATGGTGATAGAACAGGTGAGCAGGCTGGTTAGGTGCTTCGGTCAGATACAGGAGTTGTAACACCCAGGACGTGTTGTGGGCAGCAGGGAAGATGAGAGAAATGGCAGAGGTCAGTTTTGAACTAGACAGGCCGAACGGGCTCATCTCATTTGTGGTTAAGTATATTCCTTTTGTGGTTTGTTCAAGCAACGCACTGACCAGACCAGTCTGCACATCCTTTCTCAATCGGAATCTGAGTAATTTCCTTGTGAGACTTTCTCCCCTGGAGGTTTTCGAGGGTGATGAAGCTGCACTTGTGCAAGAGCTGGGACTATTTTTATTCAGAATAAACATCAGCCCAAGAGGAATGATTAACATGGCCAATCACCGATCAGCTGGGAATTGTAGGAGAAACGCAGAGGGCAGTTTCCAGCAGTCATTAACCACTGCATACTTCTCTGTGTCAATACAGGACACTCTGAGCATCCATCCTGCACAGTAAGAGCCTGGAGGTCCTAGACCGAAGTTGACATTAAAATATTTTTTATCTGGCTGGAAGATTTAACCCCCCTCTCTTCCTGCTACAGCATATGGTTGTTGTTTTAACCAGAATTTCGAGAACTTTATCTGAAATGAAAAATCACAGGATGTAAGCTTTCTGTCTTTGTGAAGTGTTTCCCTTCTACAGTGAGTCACAATATTTAGCTACACTAGCTGGTTTTGGGGACTCCTTGTGGTTTGGTGAAAGATATACTCCACCGTCACTGGTATTGTATCAAAACTGTTGGCTTTATAAATTCAAAATCTCAAAAGCTTTATACTTAAAATGGAGCTGTCTCCCACACCAGGTCAAGTCTTGTATTTTCAGGTAGTTGCTCTGATTTCTTCATTGCATGTTAGCTGATGGGGGAACAAGACCAATACACCACCTGCTGGGCAGATTTCGTTCTGCAAGACAGCGCCTGGGAAGATGGATGTGGTCAGGTGACAGGTTGTTAGTTTTTCCTCCTGGACTTTTGAGTACTAAAGAGGGCTACTTTGACACAGATTATTAAATAAGTTAAATAAAAACATAATATAAACAGCAGCTTGTTGAGAGATCTCTACTCCAGACCTGGAAAAGACAACTGATTTCCAAATATTGGAGGAAAATTGTGGAGAGCAAGTAAATATATAATTCGATTATAGAATACCTACAGGTGCCATTTACTTTGACACTGTCATGGTAAAATGAGCACCTTGAAATACAGTGGCATTTTCCAGTTATCATCTACATTGCTGTGCCTCAGAGTTACTGCTGTATCTTCTCATGAGTATCTGCTTTGTGCCAGCAAAAACCACCCCAATACTTCTGTTTATGTCCTCTCCCTTTTATGCCTGGTGTTGTGCTGTAAAAATACATACAGTATATAATCTCAGCATAGTGTTGGTTTATTCTAACACAGTGGGATTCTGTGTTATGTATGCTTTTCTGAGTATTGCTCAAACATACTTATTCCATATTCTACTGAGAGTAAGTAGTGTCCCTTGAAGTGCACTGCCACATATTCTGTCTAGATTTTCCTGGTTTTTGTCGAGCAAAGCGTTTCTGAAAGTTTTTTCCTGGCATGCCGAAGGAGGACATGAGGAGGGGAAGGGTATTGGTGTGACACAACCTTCTGCCGCGCTTGGTTTCGCCATTCAGCTTCAACAAAAGCAGGAAGCCGAAGGATCAATAAGTGAGCAGGACGCACAGGGACAACAGGAAGGTGCCGAGGACATGAACCGTTTCTTTAGGGCGATGATGATGTAGAAAATATGATTGTATGCTTTGTTCATTTATTTCTACTGCAAATGCAACTGGCAGGAGTATTTCATAATGATTGCTTCAAGGGAGATTAATTTAGATTTGCCATGCTCTACTCTTTAAGGATAACTGTGGTTGTATTTATTTTTAAACACACCCATTGTTGAATCCGGATATCCTTCTAAAGAAGTCAGGGGGCTGAGATCTTGTCTCTTCGGAACACTGTTTCCACTTTGAGGCATGATGGACTGAGCAGAGGCAGTACTTTGATGGGGCTGAAACACACAAGTCGGTCCTGGGCAAGGTGACATCGCCTTATTCCAGTTTATCCTGCTAAACCCGAGTCTCACTCGGAGTAAATGGCATTCGCAGGGCTGTTAACACCCTGTTGAAAGCTCTTTGATCACAGCGGAAACACAGTTTAACCAACAATAAAACCTCTAATCCACCAGCAAGAGTGTCACGCACTATGTTAATGTGAGAGGAGGGAATGGGCTTATGCGCAGTTTTCAAAACAATTTACGTAATGTGGGATCACTGCTGTTTTTCTACATGCTGGGCAATTTCCTGGAATGCGAAATCTCTTTCTCCTTTTCTTCACTCAGAGCTGAGCAAGAGCTATTCAATTTTTTAAAATATGAGATTTAGTTGAACTATTATTCCAGCTATATCACCCTGCAGCTCACAACTGGCACCCCACTGAAGCTCAGCAGCGTGAGCCTGGTCAGTACCTGGATGGGAGACCTCCTGGGAAAACCTAAGGCTGCTGCTGGAAGAGGTGTTAATGGGGCCAGCAGGAGGTGCTCACCCTGTGGTCTATGTGGGTCCTAATTCCCCAGGAAAGTGATGGGGACACTATACTGTGAAAAGGCACCGTCCTTTTGGATGAGACATAAAACTAAGGTCCTGACTCTCTGTGGTCATTTAAAATCCCAGGGCGTTTCTCAAAACGAGTAGGGGTGTAACCCTGGTGTCCTGGTCAAATTTCTCATTGGCCTTTATCAATCATGGCCTCCTAATAATCCCCATCTCTGAACTGGCTTCATCACTCTGTTCTCCTCCCCACTGAGAGCTGATGTGTGGGGAGCGTTTTGTTTCACTATGGCTGCCATCACATCATCCAGGTGGGGCTGCACAATGGTGGTGTGGAGGGGATCCCCATTACCTGTAAAGCGCTTTGAGTGGAGTGTCCAGAAAAGCGCTATATAAGTGTAAGCAATTATTATTATTATTATCATTATTAATCATAATATTTTCAATGTATCCTTGCCTTAGACAGGGAATGTGCTTCTGCCATTAATTATGTTCCCTACATTTTAATAATCTGAATGATAATAATATAATTTAATAATCTGAACTATTATTATTACAGAATTCGGTATTTAGAGAGCCCTGCGATTGCGCGCTCAGTGACCTCCACCCCTGAGCGGCTGCTGGGAATCTCACCTCTCGTCTCCCTGTGGGTTTGTCTTCCAGGATTAGCCCTCCCGGATCTGGTCTCCCCACCGCCGGCACCATGTTCTAAAGGGGATTCGCTGGCGACCATGAAAGGGTTAGGAGCCAACCGCAGCCGCCACCTGTCTGACTCCTGCGACCCGTCGGCCGGCCCCCAGGAGCCCCTGTACCCGCCCGCGCCCGACCCCCGCAGCCCGTACCTGCTCAGCCCCGGCATCGACCCCTATGGCACCATGGACCCTCTTCACTTCCCCCCGCCCACCCCCAGCTCCCTGCCCCCCGACTGCATGCTGCCCCTCAACAACCAGCTCTCCAACAGCAGCACCTTCCCCCGGATCCACTACAACTCCCACTTCGACCCGCCCGACTTGTCCCCCGGCTCGGTGCCCGGCGGGGGCAGCATTGGGGGCATCGGCACGGGCACCACCCTGGGCCCCTCCATGTCCATGGGCATGGGCATGGGCCTGGGCCTGGGCATGGGCATGAGCGGAGGCCCGATGATCACCAGCGGCTCCGCCACCATCTCGGCGGGCAGCCGGATGAACCGGCTGCCCCCCAACCTGCTGGACCAGTTCGAGAAACAGCTGCCCATCCACCGGGACGGCTTCAGCACGCTGCAGTTCCACCGCAGCGGCGCCGCCAAGCAGCGCAGCGAGAGCCCCGGCCGCATCCGCTACCTGGTGCACTCCGTGCAGAAGCTCTTCGCCAAGTCCCAGTCGCTGGAGAGCTCCAGCAAGGGCAGCCTCAATGGACGCTTCGCCAACAGCACGGGGGGCGGCGGTGGCGGCGGGGGCGGGGCGGAAGATGCCAAGCAGAGCCGGCGCAGCAAGAGCAAAGACCGGGCCAAGACGGAGGGCAGCAAACGCAGGCCCCGCTCCAACATGTCGGGCTTCTGGAGCTCCGATGACAACCTGGACGGGGACTCCGGCAGCTACCGCAACCCCATGGCCCTGATGACCCTGGGCCGCCAGGGTCCCGAGGGCCAGGCCTCATCCAAGTACTTCATGCACGCCTACAACACCATCAGCGAGCACACGCTCAAGGCCTCCAAGAGCAGCAACGACCTCAAGCTTCAGGCCTGTCCGTCTCTTCCAGGCCCTGGGGGTGGGGGTGGGGGAGGAGGGGGAGGGGGAGGAGGAGGAGGGTCTGGCGGGGACAACAAGTTTGTCAAGCGAGGCTCCTGGTCCACCCTCACCCTCAGCCAGGCCAGGCAAGTGTGCCAGAAGGGCTCGGCCACCATCGACAAAGCGCTGCTCAAGTCCAAGTCCTGCCACCAGGACCTGTCCTGCCACTACCTGCAGGTACGAGGGCAAGTGAGTATCCCTGCAGGATGCCCGGCCCCCCTTTCCTTCCCGGGCTCAAGGGTTTACCGACAAACCAGGCAAAACAATCAGGCCGCCTTACTTACAGGAGCGCGGGTCTTTGGGGCTCTCTGAGATCACTGCGTGAAAAGTCAAACAGCGTCGATCGTTTTTCGAGTTTTTTTTTAATTAGCTGCAATTTTAATTGACAGGGATGGAAGCTGGAAAAGAAGATGTATCTGGCCATTAATCTGGTTAGAAAAGGCACCTTTAGAAACTATTTAAATTAACGGGAAGCTATTAGATGAGTAAGCTATTAGCGAAGCTACCACGGAGGAGTTCATCAGATTCTTGATTTTTTTTTTCAGCCTTAATTGCCACGTTAAACTTCAGTATGACAGGGGAAGTCTTTTAGTCATTGTTTGTAATTGAATCCACCCTTAGGCCCGGCTGTGGTATGAAGCAGATTGATTGTGCTGGCGGGTGTGTGCTGGCGGGTGTGTGGAGTGGGGGTCCTGACGGAACTGTGCTTCCCGCAGATCCCCCTGGGGGAGTGGAACAGCACGCTGTCCCGGGACAGAGGGGGGGGCTCCACCGAGATCCCCTGCCGGCGGATGCGCAGCGGCAGCTACATCAAGGCCATGGGCGACGAGGACAGCGAGGACTCGGAGGGCAGCCCCAAGCCCTCGCCCAAGACCGCCGCCCGCCGGCAGAGCTACCTGAAGGCCACGCAGCAGTCTCTGAGCGAGCAGCTGCCCCCACGCAAGTAAGCACCCCCCCCCTCCTCGAGACTGCCACCCACTGGAAAGGCTGTGAATCCTCTTCAGGATGTTGGGTTCTTGTCTCAGCCAGAACAGTAACTCGATCCAGGCCCACCAGCTGTAGTTATATCCTGCTGTACAGATGTGCAACCACAGTTATACAGGAAGCAGAAACAACCACCTAATAATTGTACCATGAATTCCATTTGGTTCTTAGAAATGTTACCCCACACTTGCACCCTTCAGAAAACGGCTTGTGCTCTTTAAAGGTTCCTGAAATCGACTGGTACCTGCCTAATAGTTGAAAGGTACTTTTTGGCTGAACATGCATGTAGGGTTTCCAGAAATTCCACGATCCGGTGGGTTCAGAAAATGGTGGTACAATTTCAAAATGTAAACCATTGCACGTTGGCTGAAATTCCCTAAATGGGGAATTTGGTCTGGTATTTTTCGATGGAAATCTGGGTCCTGGGCTTTTTAAAGGAGACAGCGCTGCGCCGGAGAGCTCTTTTTAAACGATGAGCCCTCTCGATGCCTCTGTGATGAGCTGTACGCAGAACGCGTGAGCCTTTGCCTTCATTGGCTCTAGCTCAAACCCAGGAAGTGCTCACATTGTTAAGGAGAGGAAGTTCATGGTTTTGTTCTCAACCCTGTTGCAATAAACGTGAAATCCGCCCTTTTGTTTTCATCAGGTTCTGCTCCACGGGTGTGCAGCCTTCCGGATTTTATTCCGCCTGTCCTTTCACGTATCCCGATCCATTAATTTTTGCCTAAATTGGACTCATTTAACCAGTTACGAATTTAAACACACATTTCAACCCAGACCTGATGGACAACTGACAGTTCAATCATCCTACACTAGGGGGCAGTGCTTTGTCAAGATATTTACCCAGACGGTTCTGTTATTATTTTGGCAATATCCAGAAACTTTCAGTGTTTCTATAATTCATAACATGCACCCGTTCCAATCAGATTCCATTGGTGGTCCAGTGCATTGAGCTCTGAATGTTGTTTTAATGAAGAGCGACTGTTATTCCTGAAGGATGATGGCCTTTTAACAGACTCAAGCTGTTCTTGTAATTAAAGAGTCTCACATGCTGAATAAACACAAACGCCACTAGCGGGCTCACTGGGCAGATCTGTAATAAAATTAAGAAAATATTGCCTGTGCCGTTCTGTTCTTTCAGGGGAGTACCAGCAGTGAAAGGCAGTTGATGGAGCATCTTCAGTAGGGTCGTTGGGTTGTAGGAATGGTCTGTGATCGCAGTGCCATTAGGATTTAGAGTAAAAGTAAGACTGGTAGCCTCTTTAACGCTCAACCTCCCCTCCCCTACAAACACCCACCTCCCCCCCCAAACCATGTGTCCCTGCAGATCCCGGGGCTGTTCGGTCCTGCAGGGGGACTTTGAGGGGCTGTGGTCTTCTCAGCAGAGCGTGGGCTCGCTGCTTCAGCTCAGCAGGTCAGTGTCTTGCGCGGCGGCCTGGAGCTGGCTCCCCTCGGGGGGCCGAGGGGCCCGGTCCCCCGCCCAGCACCAGAGCCCTCCCACACTGCTGACAGCTCTGCGAATTCACCACGTCTGCTGCTGTGTTTCACATCCAGAGACCTGAATCCATGTCCTCCACACGGCGGTCAGGGCAGTTCGGACACTTGGCTCTCAGAGCTGGGGGCCGCCAGCTGCAGAACTGACTTCTGATCTCCTGTGTGCCCCCTTCCTCCCAGTCAAGATCTCCCACCCCCTCACCCCCCCCAGCACTCCTGCTTTCCTTGTACTCATGTGCTTTGCATGTAGAGGCAACAGAACATAGTAAAGAAGCAGCAGGCAACCACAGCTTTGAAAGCTTTTGTCTCCAGTGTGAAATTTACTCCGCTGTTACTGGTGGCAAATAAAGTCCAGATTCTCCATTTTTTAAGGGACATATATTTGTGTTTATTTTCTGTCTGGTTAACCAGCAATGTGTGCGAACTTTGCAGACTCATACAATGGTTTTCTAACCTCGGGAGAAAATTTCACTCAGTAGGAAAAAGCTTTGAGATTCATGCTGTTATTGCTTTGACATTTCGAAAGCAGACTTGGAATGCATCGCAGAACGACTCATAACTCAGTTTGCCGCGTCTAGGAAGGAATGGTCACTCCACGATAATCATGTTACGCTGGTGTGACCAAGTCGATATTTACAGCAATGCAAAATAGGCTAGCAACGCAGTCGGACTTTACCCTACAGAAGGACAATTAGACAGAAAGCAGAAATTATTTTGACTCCTTGTGTTGAGCTCACCTCTTGTAAAAATGTGAAATGGAAAAATAACATCTTGTTTTAGTGATCTGAAATAAGTGTTCTTTGCACAATCAGGCCACGTGCCCTAAAAAATGTCTTTGAATGCGGTCCTTATTTCTTTAACAGAGAGACATGACAGCAGATTACAGAGAATGGCCAAAGGGCAGCTAGACAGGGCCTCTCCACTGCAGGTCTAGGAGCTGGAGAGATGGATTACTGTACATGAAACCAGCAGGGTGGTACCTGCTCCTGCTCCTCTTTCCCAGTGCATAGAGCCGGGATGGAATAAGGAGAGGGCTGTAGTTTTTCGCTCTGACACACTGATCTGACTCTGCTCCTCCTCCTTCAGCTGTCTTCCCTCGCTCCGGGAGCTCTCCAGCAATCGGAGTCTGGATAACCTGGACTGTATCGGGGCTCCCCCAAGCTCCCCCTTTCAGCGCTGGGAGGATGAGGACTTCAGCCCGGACAGCAACACGCTGGGCAAGAACAGCTGCAGCAGTCAGGTCAGAAAACACCTCCCTGGCACCCAGGGCTTCATGGAAATGTGAAAATGGGGATTTCCTGTTCGCCTGTGGAGTGAGAGAGCTAGACCAATCCGCAGGTTCTGCCCTGGTCTCACTCTCTTAGCTGTGCTAACACCTCTCAGAAACAATGCAGCCTGGTTTCAATTCCTAAGATCCCCATGTTTGGATATTTATTAACTTCTACACTCTAGAAAACAAGTTTTGCAAATGTGAGCAAAGATACAAAAACTTGCATGAAGGTTTTAATGAGCAGCAAAACCTTTCTCACCTCAACAGAAAAATCACGTTATAACCTGCACCCCTAGTGATTTACTGCTATTCCACCAATTCTCCTTGGAACTCACATTTTAATGTTGAGCACTTCAGCACTAAAGAACTTCAATATAATAAAATTACTGTTCTCTGCCATCGCCCTCCTAATCAGCACAGAATAATGCTCCTGGCTGCTTAGACCTCACCTTTAAAAATGACCATTAGCCATTACTGTAGCCCATCACATTGACCAGAGCTGGATATAAACTGAGGAGGAAATATAACTGGACTCTCTGAGGGTCTCAGAGGTCTTCAAGGATGACATGGATGTGATGTGTAGTGGTGTCAATAATACATGTACATAAATTCGGTGTTTACATTTTAGGATTTTTTTGCTCCAGCTGAGTTCTTAATCACAGGCTAATTGATTTCATTTTTCCTATCTGGGGTGTTTTTGTAAATTTGCTTCACAAATTCAGCTGTTTGAGGGTGAGAATTGGAGTTGATGACCTGTACTGAATTCTGAGTTTCAGAACTGCACTCATTCAGATGTAACCAACTCGATTTTCGCAAAAGGGTAAAATGCTCATTGTGGAGGTATGTGATACATGGACATGTGTGAAACAGTATCACTTCCATCATGGGTGTGTCTCATATCAGATACACTAATAACAGACAACTATAACTATAACCAACTTGACTTATGCAGAAGGACAAAAAAATGGGTGGGTGTATCTGATGCAGTGTCACTCCCAATATGGGCGTGTCTGGTACAGTTTCACTCCATGTGTGGGCGTGTCTGATACAGTATCACTCCAGTGTGGGCGTGCCTGATGCCGTTTCACTCCGGTGTGGGCGTGTCTGATACAATATCACTCCCATAATGGGCGTGTCTGATACCGTATCACTCCGGTGTGGGCGTGTCTGATACAGTTTCACTCCGGGTGTGGGCGTGTCTGATACAGTCTCACTCCAGTGTGGGCGTGTCTGATACAATATCACTCCAGTGTGGGCGTGTCTGATACAATATCACTCCCATTATGGGCATGTCTGATACAGTTTCACTCCAGTGTGGGAGTGCCTGATAGAGTATCACTCCAGAGTGG